TGTGGCTTCCGGGGAAACCAAGCGGAGGCTCGGGGACCGCTTTGCAGAACACCTACGCTCGGTTCACACTAAACAACTGCACCTCCCAGTCGCGAACCATTTCAACTCCCCCTCCCATTCCTCAGACGACATGTCCATCCTGGGCCTCCTGCAGTGCCACAACGATGCCACCCGAAGATTGCAGGAACAGCACCTCATATTCCGCTTGGGAACACTGCAGCCCAATGGTATCAATGTGGATTTCACAAGCTTCAAAATCTCCCCTCCTCCTACCGCATCCCAAAACCAGCCCAGCTTGTCCATGCCTCCCTAACCTGTCCTTCCTCCCACCTATCCCCTCCTCCCACCTCAAGCCCCACCCCCATCTCCTACCTACTAACCTCATCCCGCCCCCTTGGCCTGTCCGTCCTCCCTGGACTGACCTATCTCCTCCCTAACTCCCCACCTACACTCACCTTTACTGGCTCCATCACCGCCTCTTTGACCTGTCTGTCTCCTCTCCACCTATCTTCTCTATCCATCTTCTATCTGCCTCCCCCTCTCTCCCTATTTATTTCCCCTCCCCCATTTCTGAAGAAGGGTCTAGGCCCGAAACATCAGCCTTCGTGCTCGGCCTGCTGTGTTCATCCAGCTCTACACCGTTTTAACAAAGATTGGCTGGGTGGTTGACAGGGAGAAGGAAGGTGTTAGTTTATGGGAAGATATATATGGATTGGTCAGATGAAATTTAACCCTGATAATTGTGAGGTGGTGCACTTTGGAAGAGAGAACAAGACAAGGGCGTACTCAATGAATGGCAGGACACTAGGAAACTCAGGAACAGAAGAATCTTGGGGTGCTTGTCCATAGATCTCTGAACGCTGTAGGAAAGGATAATAGACTGGTTAAGAAGGTATATAGGATGCTTGTGTTTCTCAGTCATGGCATAGATTATAAGAGCAGGGAGGGAATGTTGGAGCTGTACAGAACTTTGGTTAGTTCACAGCTAGAGTGCTGTGTGCAGTTCTATACACTACATTATGGCAAGGATGTGATTAAACTGAAGGGGGCACAAAGGTGAATCACCACAATATTGTTTGGGATGGAGCATTTCAGCGATGGAGAAAGGATAGATAAGCTTAGTTGGTTTTCTTTGGAGCAGAGAAGTTGAGGGTACAGATACAGATGTGAGATTATGAGGAAACAGACAGAGTGGACAGATAGCAGCTATGCACCACCCCCCTCCCTAAGTTGTATGGCCAGTGACAAGGGGACATAATATTAAGGTGAAAGGCAAGAGGTTTAGAGGAGATTTAAGGGAAAACCTTTTTTACCCGGAGGGTGATGAGAGTCTGGAGTGCACTGCCTAGAATGAGTAGTTGAGGCAGGAAATTTCACTATCCTTAAAAACTACTTGGATAAGCACTTTAAGTGTCATAACATACAAGGCTATATGCCTGGTGTGGGAAAGTGGTACTATTGTATATTTTTGGCAATACATACTTGATGAGCTGAATGGCCTCTTCTGTACAGTATGATTCTTTGATCTCAGTGCAGGTAGTTTGCTCAATTTGTGCTTTATTTCCTCCCATATTCACTTTTTGCTCTCGAGACTTATCATTTGCAATAAACCTTAATTAAAGTGCTTCATACACCCTGTCCCAAATTTCCAGTTACTTACTCTCTCAGTCTCACTCTGATGACATCTCCCCTCACTCCTATTTATTCACCCACAAATCTGTGGCTTTATTAATCGCAGTACTGGTATACTGTACTTAACATAGTACACTGGTATGACAACAAATATAATTAGCCCAGATGAAATGGAATGCAAGATTATTGTCTATTTGCATGTAGAAGTTAAAATAAAAGTTGGTAAACTCCCTCTGTATTAGCATGCTAATTTATTACCCATCCCCAAACACAAAGCCACTGCATTTCAATATTCAGCCATATTTCCAGCAGCAAGATTGTTTTTGTCAATGTACTGTGGTGTTATTGACTAACAGAAAGGCATCATTTCCACTGCTAATTTTTGTTTGGTGTTAACATTTCTTGTTTGCAGAGATGTGATAATCACTGCTGCAAACAAGATGTACATTAGCAAAAACCACCACACTGCAAAGCTTTTTTTGGAAGAAAGAAGACGCTGAAAATCTCAGTCAAAATCCTTGCCCCTTTGGCCTGAATCGTCCACCCTGGATTGAAAATGATCCAGATCGGACAAAGTTGACCATTTATCTTTTCAGGTGCTTTGTGGCCACACTTCCAAAGCCTGTCGTAACCAAAAGCAGACCAGCAAACCATGTAGACAGCACTTATTGGATTGGTGCAGAAACCACATCCCCTTTTAATGGCATTAGCTGCCATATTCCAAGGTTTAAAGATCCCAAATCCACTTTGGCAGCTACCAAATGTGCATTGTCAGCCAGGAGGATGGGATAACAGGTGAGCAAATGGTACAAGTGGTTAGAAGGGTGGGGTGGCAGATGGGAGGGAGGCAAATTGGGTGGCAGATAGATGGAGTGGGGTTCAGATGGCAGGCAAGAGGGGGGGGGATCAGTTGGCTGTCCATTGGGGAGTTAGTCACAAGTCCAATTAAGAGAAAGGTATTGGGTGTCTGTGGGGAGACAGATTGTCAGCATCCACAGCGGAGTCAGTGTCAGGTATTGGGTGGGGGAGGGGGTGGAGTTCCACCTCTAATACTTGGCCTTTCTCTTCATCTAATATTTCCTGGCTAACCATTCACGTAAGTGACCCCTCTAAGGTCTCTGACTCTAACTCAGAGTTGAGGCCTTTGCCAGAAAGTTCCAGGTGCCAAGTAAAAGCCTATTGGAAGTTTCGACCTTGTGGAGAACTACCAAGACATCATTGTCGGAACTGTCCGGAACATACGGATCTTAATATCTCAATTCACAGTGGCTCAAAATAGTTGGATAATGTTTACATTCTTCCACTAACCTTAGATTCTTTATTAAAAGCATAGGTTTGCAAAGTCTGTGGAATATGACAATCTCCTGACAGCAATGTTGAAAACCTTGGCTGTACAAATGAGAAATATGGTCAAATTCTTATAATATCTGATGGAAATGACGTTTCTAATTCTGATTCAAAATCGATGTTGCCCTCGTGTAATAAAAAACACATCTGTTACGTTAAAAGAGAAGCACAGCCAAGCCCTGACTTTTAGAAGGCATTAAATGTAAGCCAAGTGTTTAAATACAAAAATACACAATAAAGACAGCATTTTATTTTCTTTCCTTTATTCTCCTTTTCACAATCCATTATCCAAAACAAGGATACTGGCAGGAAGGATAGCTTCTTTTGACATCATTCAACCAATCACAAACAAAAACAATCCTGTTTTTTTTCCCCCCAAGTGATTTACGGCATAGCGCCTTGTCTCAGTGCTCAAAATCTCAGCTAGTTTTAATGGGAGTCAGTCAATCATTACTTGTTCTTAACTCAATCTACTTAAGGCTGTGATAGATTAAGACAAGTACAGATTGAAACCAATTCCACACTTGTTTATCTTTCCAAATCAGATCGTTTAGTGGATGTGACAAGGCACAAATCCATGCAGAGTACGTTACATCAGAAAAGCAAAACTCAACTTTGTCATAACTGCATTTATTGTCCTATCAGCAGATTTATTTTGTCAGATGTTGCTGATTTATGATGTAACTTCTCACTTCACAGAAAATCAGCATGACTGGCAGGAGGTCATCAGTGGGACCAAAAGCAGAAAGTTCTTCCAACATTGCTGAAGGAGGCATGCATGGAAGTTCTCTCGGCAGAAACAAGGAAGCAGGGAGGCCTAACAATAAAAAAAGTAAAATCAATGCAATTTTTAAATTTCTCAAGTTTAATTTATACATATATTTTAAATATGTCAACACTGCGATACAGCATAATCAGACCTGTCACACTCCTGCAACTAATTTTTAAACAAAGGTTAAGACTGTAACAGCCATTATAGAATGATACCATCATAGTGAAAGCAACAAGCAAGGCCATGAGACACCTGTAAATACAGGACATAAACAGTCAACTGATACAATGCCATTGAATTATTGATTTGCAGATATTTAACTTATAATTCTCCACAGAGAAATAAAAAATTCACAACAGTATTAGTATTAACAAATTGAACAGTGGTCATCTCCGAAACTTCTTCTGTCTCTTTCTGCACTGTCTGCTGTCTATCTCTTCAACGTTGTCCGGTGGGTCTGGTACAACAAAGCCATTGGTAAGTTGATAATAAACAACTGTCGAGTCTGAGTCAACAATGGCCAGCGTGAACTCCTTTCTACTTTGGTCGCAGATGCTTTCCATAATTTTTCTAATCCTAAAAACAAAATTAACAATTGTTAATTGCTATGGTTTTTATGGTTGCACGGAATTACCCAAGTTCAGGTTTTAAAAGGAATTGTGTTTGTTCCTCAAAAGTACAACTGTCTAGATGTATATATTTTTCATAAACTATAGATGATGGATAGGTTATAAGCTAAAATTAAGGAAAAATGATTGATCATTCAGTTGAAAATGAATAAAATACATTTCAGCCCAGGTTGAATGAACTTTCAGTAGTTTCAGAAAAGCCAAACCGATTTATATTTCTTGCTAAGTTCTGACTGTGCAGCACTATGCAAGAGACGTGACATTAAAAGCAGCAGAAATAACTGTACAAGTGATTCTCTGGCACTGCTGGACTGCAAGGTTTAGTGATGACAAATGATTGCAAAGGCATTCGCAAAGTATAGACTATAGGAATGGCAGAGGTGGGAAATTGAAAATCTATAATTAACAATATGGCCTCTCATGTATACTTGACTCCCTGATCTTGCCTGTCAAATGACTTCTTTCATTCTTCAGAGATGGTGCCAGTTATAAAATAAACCCATTTTCTTGGTGCACTTTGTGTAGATGGTGAATGAACAGAATACTGCATTTCCTCCTAAGATTCAAACTTTGCTTGTTAATCTGTATCTAACTCATTTCATAAGTCAATAATCTAAATTGGCCAGCACCAACTTGAGACCATGACACATCCGTTTCTCATTCTGACCATGAGAGAGAGAAAAAGAGAGAAAGTGAGAATGAAAGAATCGAAGTAAGTAAGACAGAAAGCAAAATAATTAAGCAACCCTCCCCAGCTCCCTGCATTGTGATTGGCTTGCCAACCTGTCAAATTCTAAACCTTAAATATAAAACGACATTTTGCACATAGGAGCTATGACAGCCACTGTTTCGCTCGGACCCCATGAATCAGATATGTTCCGACATTAAAGGCTGAAATACTGTGCTGGGCAACCCCCACCAATTCAATGTGGGAATGTACAGTTCAAAGAACTGATTCTTTATCCTAACCAATATTTCCTATACATTACTATGGTCTGTGCTTTTCAGAGTAAATCCTTTTGCATACCAAAGTCACCTTCATATCAACATAACATCCATCAAAATCTCTTCCAGGTCAAATGGGTAACACCTTCTTGCAATTTCTTCAATTCTTCCTACAAAACTGTCTTCAAATCGTACTTCCTCTTAACCAAGTTTTAATCTTGCTTGTTTGATACAGTGTTCAGTTTCTTCTTCCCCTAACTGCCAAAAGCAGAACAAGCATTTTTTAGAAACATAGAAAGAACATTCTTTTTAAGAACACTCAACAGATTTACTGTCTTCACATCTTGTGTTAGTTTGAAAGGACTTTATAGTTATATTAATTGGTATTGAAGTTCACGAGAGATTAGCCCAGAATGATGGGCTCTCTGCAGAGCAGATTGCCTGCCATTAAAATACATTGCACAGGAACCAGATGGTTGCACAGTTATGAAATGTATCATCCAATTTGATATCAAATATTAGCTTCTTTTGACATGTAAATGTCCATCTGCTGCAACTGGCATTGGCCCAAAATTAGGCAAGCAGCAACTCTGAAATGGTATAGAATTTACAGCATAGAAACAGGCCATTTGGTCTAACTGGACCATGGTGATTTTCATGCTCCATATAAACCTCCCAGCCATCTTCATCTCATTTTATTAGCATAACAATACAATACTTTCCTACCTCAATTACACCTTGTAGTAGTGAGTTGAATACCTTAACCATTCACTGGCTGAGCACATTACTTCTGAGAGGCACTCCTGCTAATTTTAGTTTCCTTCTGCGCACGCCTCGGAGGTCGGTGTGCAGCACCCACTGCAGAACTGGAAGTCAATACTGCAAACAGTATCAGCATTCCAATCACCATTGGGGCGCACAGTGGCTAGCACTGTTGCCTCACAGTGCCAGGGACCCATGTTTGATTCCAGCCTCAGGCAACTGTCTGTGTGGAATTTGCACATTCTCCCCGTGTCTGCGTGGGTTTCCTCCGGGTGCTCCGGTTTTCTTCCACAGTCCAAAGATGCGCACATTAGGTTGACTGGCCATGCTAAATTGCCCATAAGAGTCCAGAGATGTGTAGGCTGGGTGGATTAGCTGTCAGAAATGCAGGGTTAGAAGGACAGGGAAGCAGGGCTGGGTGTGGGTGGGACGGTCTTCAGAAGGTCAGTGTGGACTTGATGGGCCTAATGGCCTGCTTCCACACTGTACGGATTCTAACATGCATGAACCCTCAGGGAATAGTGCTCCCGAGTTGCTCACTGGCTTATATTTGTGGGTCCCAGTTTAGTTTTCCCACACATGGAAACGCGTTCTGTTATATCAAACCTTTTTGTAATATTAGAAATGTTTCACACGCTCATCAGCCCCTATCACTCCGAGATTACTTAAGGGTCCATTATATAACGCCTTATCGAAAGCCATTTGAAAATCTAATCGTAATCCAGGTGATGAAACAGACCCATCAAAATAAAGATGTGGCATTGTACTATACAGAGAAAAGTGGCCTTTGTGATGATCAAGATGAGGATTCAACAATGGATGATGCAATACTAGTCTTGTAAAGTATATAGTTTCAGGTAGAATGTCTCAATAGAAAGAATTCTCTCAATGTCCTTTGCAGTCTGTTTTGCTAACTTCAGGTCAGCAACAACGGCTGCAATGGCATGACATTTCCATGCCCCAAGTGAAATTCCTAATTCACTACCAATACGTGGATTCCTATCTCATTCCCGTTCTTCAACCTTTCCTGTCCTTGTTCCCTGACTGCTGTTCATCCCTTGATCTTCCATCAGCAAAGGAAGGGAAGGTCAATGACCTGAAGCATCGATTCTCCACAGATACTGTTTGGCTCTCTGAATGTCTTTAACATTTATATTAGGTTTCCAGTATTTTGCTTTGGTGTAATATAATGAGTGATTTTAGTCTATCGATCTGCAGCCACTATAAAATGAAAGCCATCTTTCAAAGTCTTACAGTCACCAGAGAGAGGAGACTTTCACTGGCCTCAGTACAATAGCCACCCAGAATTCAGGGTAAATTAACAAAATGCTAACAAGTTGCCATTTGAAGTTTACGATGACGTAGTCATAATCGCCACCGGAGGTAGGCTCTTGCAAAAATAAGAAAAAAATTCTCTTGAACTTCTTCATTACTATAAATTCTTTGGCTTCCAAACTAGAGCAAAAATAAACGTCGCCGAGTTTCAGGATGAGCTGAAATCACGGAGTTCTAACATTCAAAATTGCTCATAATTTCACCCATGACATCACGCCCTCAAATATACAAAATGAAGGGTCAGTGAAAGATCAACTGGCCACAGCATCACAACTTCAGCTTTAACCTCACACACTCTTCCTCTTTCCCACCATTACCACTGCCCCTACTCCCACCACAATATCTCATGACCATGTAATCTCCCACTAGAGGTAACACACAGGAAAAAATAAAAAAAGCAAGAAAAATACACTGGTCATTTCCTCTTCAACTCCCTTTAAAACCAATCCAGATATCACACAGACCAAGCGTTACCTCTCCCATTCATTCCACACCTCAACCCATCTCAAAACATGGCCAAGGAAAAACTGAATGTTTTGTAACCGCTTCCGCAAGAAGACAACCAACATGCAAGAGTGAATCACCAAAAAATATCCATGGTGTCCTCCATTCCCTAGCCACCAGCTCCATCGCTCACCCTGACACTGTGTGAAGCTGAACCAGACTATTTAACCAGAGATAAACTCGGAGCCAAATAACTGCCTGCTTCCGCTTCCAGTAGTATCACTGTCTCTACCCTGTCTCAGCCTGCTTGTTGCAGAATACGTCAATCATTCTTTTGCTATGTCTGGACTTGAGTATTTCCTGGCTGATATCCCTGCTTCCATCCTCTATAAACTTGAATTCAGCCAAAAATTTGCTACATATATCCTAACATATACCAGGTCAAGTTCATCCATTACTGCTGTGCTCTACGACTGATATGGGTTTCCTGTTCGGCAATGCCTCACCTTTAAATATCTAATCCTAGCCTTTAAAACACTGCAAGGCCTCAACATTCCCAATCCTCGCAGAATTCCCAGTCATACAACTTCCCAGGACATATATGCTGCTCCAATTCTGTCCTCTTTAATATTCCAATTTTAAATTGTTCCACCATTGCTGGCCGTGTTTTCAATTGTCCATGCCACAAGGCTTGGGTTCTCTCCTGCTCTCTCTCCCCACTTAAGATGCTACTTAAGGCCAAATGTTTTGATCACTTCATAACCCTGTACAAGTGTCAAATTTTATTTAATAATGTTCCTCTCAACCACATTTAGGATATTCATTTCATACAGTCCTCCATGTTGAACACAATTTATGTCAAGAGCCTAGAATGTACTCTGGGTGGGGAACTTTAGTGCTCATTACCTACAGTAGCACCACTACTGAGTAAGCTGGCCAAGTCCTAGAGGATGTATTGGCCAGATTGTATCTGCAGCAGGTGGTGAGCATCACCAATCTTCTTGTCACAGATATAACTCTTTATGACACTATTGTCAGAGTGGCCAAAACACAATATTTTATGGAGACAGGGACCTTTCTTAATACTCAGGATGTCCTCTATTGTTTTGTGACATTACCACTGCACTAAGCAGGCTAGATTCAGAACATCTCTAGCAACTCAAATTAGGCATCCCTGAGACACAGTGGGCCATCAACGGCAAAAATGCATTGAACCACAATTTGGCATTTCGTGGCCTGGCATATCTCTCACTCTGCGTTACTATAAGCCAGGGGATTGACTCTAATTCAGACAGAAGTGCAAAAAAGCATGTCAGGAAGATCATCAGGTAAAAGTAAAATCAGGTGCCAACCCTATGAAGCTACAACACAGGATTAGATGCATGGTGAACAGTGTAAGCAGCATGCAGTAGACAAAGCTATACAATCCCACATCCAGTGGAGCACTGCAGTCCTATAATA